ACGGACGCAGCAAGGTACCGGCTGTGTGGGACTCCCTCTGGCTTGGAGACGCCCTGTTGCCCCATGTCCCAGCCTGAGTCCAGGCCACCTGGAAACTAGACCCTCCAGGCCCCAACAACACCTGGGGAAGCCGTGCCCAGCGGAGGCGACTCGGGGCGTTTCCGGAGGAACGGGGGAACCCGGGAAGGAGACACGGGTGGGGGGGTAGAGGGAGAAAGGGCTGGAAGTTGCGAGAAGGGTGAGATGAAACGCAGCTCGGCAGGTCCGAGGACAAAGGCGAGTTAAACATCCCCCCGCACGCTCCCAGAGTCCCCTCTCTGAAAACGGGGTGCGGCCCAGTGTCCCCTGTGAGCTGAGCGGCCGCCCAGGAGAGATTCAGACGCTACCCAGCTGCTTAGCAGAGCACCCAGAGCCAGCAGCAGGTGCTTGTAGTGGTGGTGCACATCTGCACATGCCTTGGTGCATATAACAAAATGTATTCCGCACATGGATGGGAACTATTAGAGGGAACATTGGCCCTGGCTGGTGTGGGGGTGTCTCCCACATGGCCTTGCTCTCCAGGCAGGGTCGCCGCCCGGCCGCTGGGCTCTCCTGATGTCCAGCTGGCGAGGTGGTGGCCGTGTGAGCCGTGCAGGGCTAGGTCACAGACTTCCCCGGGGCTGCCTGAGTTACTTCGTGCACCCAGCTGCATCGGGCCTGCTCTGATGGGGTCGCCAGTCGGGATTCGCCACCCCGAGAGCCCTGGCATTGGCTGGCGACTGGCAGGGTCGCCGCCCGGCCGCTGGGCTCTCCTGATGTCCAGCTGGCGAGGTGGTGGCCGTGTGAGCCGTGCAGGGCTAGGTCACAGACTTCCCCGGGGCTGCCTGAGTTACTTCGTGCACCCAGCTGCATCGGGCCTGCTCTGATGGGGTCGCCAGTCGGGATTCGCCACCCCGAGAGCCCTGGCATTGGCTGGCGACTGTCGCGGGGCGAAGGCTCGGGCTCTGCACCAGGACCTTTCCGCCTGTGGAGGTGTGCGGTGGCTGCAGCAGCTCTCTTCCCCCTGCCCTCCTGCAGCTCCTCCTTCTGCAGCCAAAGGGAAATTGCGCCTGCTTCTGGGGCGGGGAGACATGAGCCTGGGCGGGAAGCTGCTTGGAGCAGCCACATCAGGCCAGCCTGGGAGCAGGAGAAAGCAGAGGCAGTGGCTTGTAAAAGCGCACAGCGAGTATTTACCCCCGCAGGGCAGGACAGGGCTATTACACCCATTGCACGGATGGGCAGTGGAGACCCAGAGCCGCTCGGGGACTTGCCCAAGGTCACCTGGGGAGTCTGTAGCGGAGCAGGGGGTTGAATGCTGGTCTCCTCCATCACAGGGCCAGCAGCCTCGCCCGGATCCACGCCCACCCGCGAGGGTTGCGGGGCCAGATCTGTTCTAGTCCGCTACAGGCCCTGCCCCACGCTCTGGAGCCGTGGCTTTCTGATCTCAGCCCCATGGGAGCTGTGATGTTCTAAGCACGCCGCCCCGGCGCTGGGATCGGGGCTGGGGGAGCGAATTTAGAACCAGGTCAGGCTCGGGTCTAAACAATCGCAAAGGCCATTGATCCGTATGCTCCAGGGCACCCCCGAGTCGGGGTCAGGAGGTAACGTCCCCATGGGAGAGGGTGGCCCAGTTAGGTGTGGGGCGGGGAACTTACACCTTCGCCAGCAGTGGAGCTGTTCTTCCAGCGGTGCGGCATTTTTACCATGGACAGGTTACCTGGATAGGGAACTTGCCTTCCCATGGGCGGTGGGTTATGGTAGGGTTGGGGGAAGCAAGATCCAAGTCCCGCCCCAGCCCCGCCCCTTCTGCTCAGGCCACGCCCCTTCTGCTCAGGCCCCGCCCCCAGCCTCCACGGCCCCGGAGCACAGGGAATGTGGCCTGGGCCCCCCAAACAGCCCTGCCTTCTGCCCTTCCCGGGAGTACCGGGGCTGCGCTCCAGCTGGCAGGGCCAGGCCGTGGCCGAGCAGTTTATTCCAGCCAGCGTCTCAGCCTCGAAACACGAAGGGCATTAGAGGGCGGGAAAACAACTCAGCTGCACCCCCCCACGCACCCCCCCATACGCCCAGGCTGAGTCACTGCTCTGCCCAGGGAGGGAGAGGGGGGAGCCCGGCCCGGCTGAGGGCTGGGCCCTTCCGCCCACCCTGGGCTGCAGGGAAAGGAGTGAGCCAAACGTGGCTCCGAAGCGCTTTTCTTGAAGAGACCCCGT